AATTTCATTCTGTTAGAATAGACTTTTTCTGCTGAAAATTTTGGAATGATATTTTGAAAATAAAGCGTACCACTCTCTCTCTCTGTCAAATGGCCGCTTATCACCCAAGCAGTCGGGTGTCGAACTCTGCCTTCGTTCATGGTTGGGGGGAGGGAGGGGAAGGGAGGGGGACGGCAATTAGCGCATGGAATGCGGTCCATAATGCCATAGCGACTGAGTCCAATTTTTCGGTCCCGCGCGGAACCGCCAACATACTACAGGAAACGATACGTGCGCGGGCAGCGTGGCTTTCGAAGCGTTCAAACATGAAAGAACCCAGCATTGGCTAGATTCCGTCTCTTCGCTACTCCAGTCAGTGTGAATCTGTTGAGTTTCTAGAAATCTAATAATGAGGACAATTTTAGACAAAATGACGACGTGTATACTTAGAAGGAATACCAAAATGACAAGTTGCGGACTGAGCAAACGAATGTACAAATTAACTTCCCCGCACCGGGCATCTGTCAGGCATCAAGGCATACGTACGGACAGAGTAAATTACGCATTTTGCCTACCACAAAATTAAATACGCAAAAATGTCTGTTTTCTTTCTTATCTCAAACAAAGGGCAGTTTGGTTACAATTGTTTACCAGCTCTCGCTTTTTGGACAGCTGCGTAGTTGGAGGTCTGTTTAGCTATAAGAAAGCCTTGCATAGCTCCAGGATAGTAGCCGAGTATAATGCGTACACTAGCCATGGCGACACACATGTAACTTGAAGATTGTGTACATATAGGGAGTGATCACTGAACGGTCCTCGATACTGCATTCTGGTTCGCATGTCACGATTGCAAGTCACACAGTTCTGTGGGAACATGGAGGACAAAGTCCGTAAATGTCAGAGTTCAGCTCTGACAAGAGAAGTGAGGGGAAGAGAGAAAGTCATAACATACTTGAGCTGATATCAGAATCTTATTAACGTGGAGTAAGCAGCGGCTGGCTGATAACTTATTACACATATATCGCGTAGGTCCAGGGTAATCTGACTATTGTAAAATTGCATTCCTGGGCTGCTATTATTAAAGCTGGGAGGTGAACCACGTGATAGAAGGAGAGGGGTAAAAATATATGGATGCAATGTACTGCGTTCCTAAAAGAACAGTTCGCAAAGTCAAAAAGATTCCGATCACTACTCCAGGAGTGGGAGGGGTGGCAGCCAACGTTACCGCAATAGAAAGCACCAACCGTAGATGGTGAGGGAAAGGAAAAGCCTGACACCAACTACTTTAATAAACAAGAGGGATATAGAGGGTATGAGTTGATGAAGAAAAGCGATATCCCATTGTTGAGTTTTCAGCAAGCTTTAGTGGTCATTATGACTCGTGATAAAGCGGACCCGATCCCAGGATAATGAATAGTTACGCTTGGGCACTTTCTCATCGGACTCAATCTACCTCGGCAAACAGTAGACGCGCATATCATGAAGGGTTAACCAAAATTCTGAAATTTGTTTACCATTCGAAAATATTAATCAAGTAAGGTTGTAATATTAACTATCCTGCACAATAACCTTAAGATTTTTCAGTCACGCCAAAATGCCGGCCTTTGAACAAGCTTCTTGTCAGTTGTCTGCAAAACCTACACTATAAAAAATTAATATTTATGCAGTATGACTTTTTCGGATTGAATTATGACGTCCTTTTAGAATTCAAACATACTTCAAATAAAATATGCGCCAAACTATTCCTTCTTACACTTAAAAGCAGAGAAATTCAATAAGAAAACCGCATACAACTTAAGTACCCATTTTCTACCGAGTGCAGTTTCTGCAGATGGCTAGAAAAAAGTTCGTTTAAAAGTCCGGCACCTTGGTGTGACTAAAAATACCTTGGGATTGCGCTGCAGGAATTCTCATAGTATAAACTTTTCGAATCGAAAACAATTTAGAATTGCGGTTAAAATTTCATGAGATGGCAAATTTACCATAGGTCAGAGCGATTACGCGAAAAGGGAAATATGACCTACTTTTGCCCGACATTCACGACCTGGATACAACAGGTTTCCGATAGTACCGGCAGAACAGCGGCAAAAAGCATCCGCATTAACTCTGCCAAAATCGGCTAGGGGGCCAAAGTTTCAATGAGCGACAGCCGACAGGCGGCAAGCGACGAGGATCATTACCGTCCAGAGGGTGTAGTGGCGACTTGCACGTGAAAGTGTAACAGTCAGGCGATGCCGCTATCTCGCGCAACACTCTCAGTCTGTTCCAACAGGAAAATGAAGTCGGTTTCAGCGGAAGCAGGTGTGAGCACAGCGACTGGCAAACCAAGGCAATCCATCTACGCGCGCCACGCACGACCTGGCCAGACTACAAGAAGGAGCCGTACGTCTGTCACGGCACATTAAGAAGACCCTGTCATGTGAGACTCATTCCGAAATAGGCTAGAGTTGTCAATTCAGTTGAAACCCC